GTAGGTACGCGTCATGGTCGAACGCGGATCAGATCTGGCAATAAAAACGCAAAACGCAACCGCGCAACCGTACAGGCCCTTAAAAGAGCCCGATCTACGTATACCTTTTGTCGCGATTATGAAGAATTTCTCTGTAATTGGTCTGCTATACGTAGTCATTCGAAGAAGAGCCTGGTCTTCATTTTAGCGCGTCTCCACACACATCACTTGTACCATGTAGCACAGTAGATTTTAGGGCCTGTTCGGTTGCGCGGTTGCGGTTGAGTTTTTGATACCTATTTGGGTATGGAGCTTTAGCAGGGGGCGGTTTGGGTGGGGTTTAGCGTTTCAGTTCTCTGCAACTTCGTTATTTGGGACAACCTATATCGGAGCTGACTTGCTATCAAAATGACGTCCCAATATACTGATTCGATGTTGCAAAGCTACGCCCAGCAGTCCCCGCCACCAGAGCCCACTCAGATGAGCTGGTCGTCGACACAGTTGCCAGTATCGTCGTCGTCGCCCGCCAGTACCAAGCGGGCTCGAAATCTCATGTGGACGCAGGAAATGGAGAGAGTATTGTTAACGTCACTATTGGAGGCTGGAGAAGAGCAAGGACAGAAGGAATACAGGAGCTGGAAAAAAACAGCGTTGGAGAAGGCCAAACGGGATGTACAGTCGGTCGCGGGCTGGTCAGTGGTGACTCCACAAGCTATTAAAAACAAAATTGATAACTGGAAAAAAAACTGGAAGATCTGGAAGCATCTCACCTTACAGTCTGGGTTTGGTGTAGACGAGTATGGCATGGTGACTGGTGATCAACACGCACTAGAGGCGTATTTCACAGCTCATCCAGAAGCTCGAAGGTTTAAGTTAAAACCGCTCCAATTTGCGAAGGAGCTGGGCCAATTATTCAGTGTACTCACGACAGGGGGCAATGCTGTGACGGTGGATGATCTGATTAACCAGACCACTGATGATACTTCACCGTCACCAAGCTCTAGTAGTGAGGTGTCGTCCGTGGTGGGTAGTAAAAGATCTGCACCAGCATCAGTCACGAGCTCATCAAAACGGCGGCGAATGGTAGTTGATCAGCTTGGTAGACTTACTACTCAGTTATCAAATTTGGTGGCGGCGATGCAACAAGATTACCAGCGTGACGCTATACAGATCGTGGAGTTGGAGTACCAGCACCTGCCATATAAGTTAAAAATGGCTTTAATTTATGCGTTTGAGAACGAGTATACCGCGAAGGTTTTCTGCCTGGTAGGACCAGCAATGCGCCCTAGCTGGGTGCGGCAGTTACTGCTCGATCGCAGGGAAATAATCATCGGTTCAGGTGTAGACTTGGAACAATTTAATGCAGCGATAGATAGTTTTGAGTAGGTGGTGGAGTAGCGGTTTGGAGGAGCAATTTGAGTATTTTGTGGTGGAGGCTGGAGGGTTTGTGGGAGGCTGTAGATAACTCAAAATCTGATATATGGACTTTTACTGCAACTGAGCTTTCATTGCAAAATCCTCCTCCAAGGCCTCCTACAACAAGATCCAAAAACCAGTTTTTGCTGTACGAATATCATTATAATGCCCACGAGACCAGCGTCAAGATCTACCGTTACAAAACAGTAGTTTTCCCACAGTTGATCCGCAATCTCCTCTCTCTGGTCTGGGCTAGCTGGCTCTGCTACCAAGACGTTCGCAGTAATTAACTACCAACGTAGAGGCTATTTGAGTTGGAGGGTGTGAGGTGCTTCGTAAACAGATACAGAGTATATCAGTCAGAGTGGATTGAGACGAATTCATGGAGCGTTACCTGGTGTTCAGATACTCTATGCACGTGACTTTAGCTTCACTAGCCCGAGAGGTACCCGATGGATGGCCGAGAGTTTGCCTTCCGAGTAGGCCTCGGTCCAGAGTATACTGACACGGTCTTCCCCACACGCGACGCCTGATCCACCCGCAAACACACGGGCGGCGTCGCCCTTGGTTAACCCTCATCATGATACAGAGCACGCGTCGCTGGTTCAGGCGCAATCGTACAAACTTTGCTATCGGTGCCGGAGTGCTCGGGGCTGGTTATCTGGCGGGGCAGTATGTCCTGGGCAAGCTCGGGGAGGCGAGACAGCGCATGAGCGATGATCGCATCGCAAAGGAGAAGTGCGCCATCACATCGCGACACCGAGAAGAGCTGCTAACCGCACTACAGCCTGCGCCGTCGCTTTGAGCAGAACCAGGAAGACTGCACTTTTACCGTTCTCGCCATCCTTCCCACTGCGACGGAGAACATACTCGAGGCCATTCCCGTCGAGCAGGTCTTGGAAGAGCTGCAAAAGCAAAAGGCAGAGCGATTGGCAAGGAGCGTTGGCCCCAGCGAGATTGCAAGCTCAGCGCCACCAAGTGTCGCAGACACTGCCGACGATGACGCCAAAAGCTCCAGCCTCCAGACGGATAGCTTCATCCACGCCAGCCAGATCGCTACAGGAGACCATAACGCCGCCGGCCTGGGTGAGGGCGGATCCGAGGCCAGCGTCGAGAAGAAGCCCAAAAAGACAAAGGCACAGCTTTGGAATGAGATGAAGATCAGTTGTACGTGCCTTCACAACACGGATATGATGCATATGCTAATCTGACCAGCCATAACCCGAGCCTTTACTCTTCTCTACACCCTCTGCCTCCTCACGCTTCTTACGCGAATCCAATTGAACCTCCTTGGCCGCCGCAACTATCTCGCCTCGGTTGTCTCTCTTGCTGCACCACAGCCAACCGCCGAGGGCTCGCGCATCAACCTCGAGAACCACGACGACGACAACTTTGAACAGGCCTACGGCAACGACTTTGAGACAAACCGGAGGTACCTTAGTTTGAGCTGGTGGCTGCTCCATAAGGGATGCTTGGACCTGATTGAAAAAGTGAGGACTGCAGTCCAGGAAGTCTTTGGTCTCCTCAACCCGAGGGAAGAGATCACCTTGGAGAAATTGTCGGAGCTTACTTTGGAGGTCCGCAAGAGGGTTGAAGGTGCAACTGAGGAAGAGCGAAGGTATGCTGCCCGTCTTTCCCATTTCAAACTCCAACTAACAATCAATAGGACATGCAAATGGCTTGCCTTTCTGCTCCCACCCCAAGACCAGGAAGATTACGTTCTGCGTGAGTCAGGCATGACTTCATCTTCCGAGTCCACCTCACCTACCACAGCTACTTCTCTTCGTCGCCTTATTGACGAAACTTCTGATTTGATCGACTCACCTGCTTTCACTCACGTCCTTACTCAGCTTCTTGATGCTGGCTTTTCTCATCTCGTTGACGACAAAATTTCCCACCTCTCATACAAGATCCCGCCCGTTTCCGACAATCATGCTCGCGTAACAGAGATTGTCGGCGGCGACGTAAAGGCTAAGGTCGCCAACAGTCTTGCTGTTTTCTGTCGACAAGCACATAGCATCGGCAGCGGGGCAAACAACGAGTATCTGGCCGCTATCGAATCTGTCGGTGGCTTGGAGGCATTTGCAGCCGTGGTGTACTCAAGTAATTTTGAGTACGAAAGCCCGGAGGCAGTCACTTCTTACCAGCCTCCTGCGGCAGACGAGCAACTGTCCAAGGTGACTTCCGCCAATGATGCAGCTGTCCAGAACAATGTGGCCAATGGTAGTAGTGAGAAGACGGATGACCCTTTTGAGAGCGCCTGGGGCAAGGCGCTTGCCAAGGAAGACGGACAGCAGTATTAATTGGGCGTGTAAGATACAAAACCTGGTCATAGCCAACCTGAGATTTCCAAGATACCCGTAGTTTGAAACTATAACACCACATGTTTTGCGTTCTTCTTTATGCTCACACAGATCTAACAACCTATTCATTTCCCGCCAGTGCATTGCCTATACCACCATATTCCGAACACACGCGTCGTTGGTTCCGGCTCTCGGAACATGAGTCGTGACGTCAGCGCATATGTGTGGGGGACAAGCGAACTGCAATAGTACAGGTATGTACCTCGATCTCTGTTCACTGTTCTACTATCCAATTGCAGTTACGTTTCAAAGGTTCTTTGGTGTAACTCAAACTACCGCTCCTCAAAATGACGGACGAATCTGGACACGGTGGTCCACCTTCCAAAAATGCCTATGTAACTCTCCTCACGCGGCCCTCATATCTTGCGGGTGCCATTCTGCTCGCCTATACACTTCACAAGCACTCGCCATCCACACCCCTGATAATATGCTACACCCCGGACACCCTTCCGGAGTCGTCAGTCACTGCCTTTGCCGCCGAAGCCAAACACTCCAACATAATCCTCCAACCCGTCTCGCACCTCCGCCTCCCCGAAGATGGCACCGCCCACGGCATGGTCGCTGAGCGCTTCATCGATACATGGACCAAACTCCGCGTCTTCGACCTATGGGACATGCCCCAGAAATGGGAGCGACTCTGCTGGCTTGATGCTGACATGATGATCTTCTCTGACCCTTCCCCCTTGGTCTTCAACGCGCAAAACGACGAGTATCTAACTGGGGGAGATGGAATGAGGACAATGGCCGTACACACCTGCGTGTGCAATCTCGACCACGACGCCTGGGCACCTGCAGAATGGACCAAGGAGAACTGCGCCATGACGCCCCTTTCCGCGCCCGACCAATTGGCTGAGGTTAAATCCGAACCCTACACCCTCAGCAACTTCAACTCTGGCACTTTTCTCTACCACCCGTCCAAGCAGCTTGCAGACTTTGTGCAGCAAAAGTTCGAAGAGCTAGGCAATTCCCGACTCCGCGCCATGAAGTTTCCAGACCAGGATTTCCTAAACGAAGCGTTTGACGGGCGCTGGGCAACGCTTTCGTGGCGCACAAATGCGCTAAAGACGTGGCGGTATTGGCATACCAATATCTGGACCGACGACTCGTATGTTGCCGTCTTACACTATATTGTGGATAAGCCGTGGGCTGCGCGCAACAAGCCTGATGGGTCAGCGGGGTATTTGGGGAAAGATGGGGAGACGCATAAGTGGTGGTGGGATGAGTTTGAGGTTTGGAGGAGGGAAAGAGAGGGACAGGGAGAAGAGGAACTGTTGGGGGTTGTCGAGAAGTATGTTGCGAGTAAGGATGGCAAGGAGAATGAGGAGATGAAGGCGATTGGGGGTGGGGCTCAGGATTTTGCGAAGAAGTGGGATAAGAAGGAGAAAGAGAATGAGGGTCGTGGAGGTAATGAAGTTGGTGGGCTGAAGTTGTCGGATGATGCGCAGAAAAAGGCAGACGCGTATGGTCAGGGGCCTCATGGTCCTATACTTAGGAAGCCGTTGTTGGGCGAGAGGGGACATGGACCTGTTGTTCACGGACGTTAATGTAGAGTGAAGTGTTAATTGTAGCACGATATGCGATGGAGCTCAAAAGATCAAGGGGCGACCCGCAATCGAGGTAGAACATAGCTGAAATCCCATCGCCGCCAAAGAATTGATTGAAGAAGGTAGTTATCTACGTAGGAAATGAAACCACAATATACCTTCAATCTGATAACGGGATCCTACACCTCCATATATGCAGTCCTTGGATAGTCGGCATATGGACAGTTGATGCAGCCAGATCAGTGGGCATATGTGTCGGCAGCTGGTGCTGCGAGAATTACTCTGCCACCTTCTATCATTGTCACAGTGTTTCTTCCAGTAGATTTTCTCCAAAAGTATTAATTTTCGAAAACTTCTATTTTTGGATTTGGCAGTTTTGAACTCCGACCTTTGGATTTGGGGCGTATTCGTCAGCCCCGTGCTCCTTCATCAAAGTCGTATCCCGTTGATCATGCAGTTAGAAATACCCGCTCAACCAAATTCTGATATACATACCACTTTTTTGATTCCCTTCTCCCCTTCTCAACTTTCTCCCTAACACCCCACCTACAAAAGATCAATCAGATCAGCTCCTTCCTGCTTCTTCGTGCCTCTGCTTTCCTCCTTCTCAGGCGAAGCAGCAGCAGCAGCAGTGCGATGGTTAGCAAGCACAACCTCTCCGTTGTGCATTAATGGTGTATAACCCCGCAACTCAGCAGCAAGCGTCTGCCTCTGCACTGGAACTGGCGAAAACGGAGGCGTCAGCGTTGTACCGTATCCAAGGCTCTCCACCTCCTCTTCTTTCACGTCCTCGTCTTTGCTGTCCTCTTCCATACTGTCCTCCTCCTTGCTACCCACCTTTTTCTTGTTGTCCTCTCCCTTCTCCATGGCAGCTTCAACCTCCATCCTCCCAACCCTAATCCCCATACTGAATAAGTTGTCCTCGTCCGTCGGATCTAGCAAGTTCTGCACCACATCGCTAACCCCCTTGCGCAGGGAACTCAGCGCAGCTTGCGCGTGGAAGCAAGCACGATACCCCTCTAGATACGCCCTTTCCTTCTCCTCCTTGACCTTGACAGCCTCTTTGCGTCCTTCCTCTTTGCCTGCGTCAAAGCCACGTTGGAAACGAAATTCTGCTAGAGCTTCTGCTTCGTCGTTGGAAACGTAGTTTGCGGCGATTTCGGCTTCGAGAGACTGGCGGAGGAGGGTCTTGTACTGTTTCTCGCGTTTGGCCTGGGCGGCGGCGTGGAGTTTGAGGGTCTCGCGTTCGAGGGCGAGCTGGGATTCGAAGGCCACTTGGTGGGCTTGCTTGTCAATTTGCATTTGCTGGTGCTGGTGGGCGAGGTGGGCGGCGGACATAGAGCTACCGTTCTGCTCAAGCTTGGTCATGAGGTGCTTTTGGCCAGCGGCAAGGAAGGACTCTTGTTGGCAGATTTTCTTCTCACGTATGTCGAGGGAGCGTTGGTGGGCGGTTGCGCGAGATTTCACAGCAAGGGCTTCGGTTTGCTCGCGGAGGAGCATGATGAGTATGGTAGAGAAGGCGGCTTCGAGGTGCTCGTGCTGGGCGTCTTGGATGGTCTTGCTGAGGTTAGCGTTCTTGGTGCGTTCCTGCTCGAGCTCTTGTTTAGCTTTGAGGAGCTGAGCGTTGAGTCGGGTGGCTTGCTCGGATGGGATGTTGTCGTTGCGAGAGCCGTGGTGGGTGTGGTTGTGACGTGGAATGTTTTGGTAGCGAGGGACATTGTTTGACGGCAGCATCTGTTGGATTCGGTAAATCATGGTGAAAGTGAGAGGTGAAGGCGATGACTTACTTTGGAACTCAGAGACTCAGCACAGCGAGCAAATGAGGACGGAAATTCAGGACGCATATGTGGTGGTACGCTGTAGACTGACTTGGACGTCCCTACTGGCTTATGAATGGCTCTTGGCTGCGTTTGGTGATCGAAGACTTCATCTTTGGTGATGGCAAACTCTTCCTTGATCTCATGCTCTAGTACAGGCGATGGCTGTGGGACCTTTCCGGGCGCTTCGGACTTTGCGGTAGCGCTTTCTGCTGCCGTCTCTTTGACTTGATCGCTCTGGTCTCTGTTCTTGCCATCATCTCTGTTCTCAGTGCCATCGAGCGCCTTCCCAGAGCACTGTTCTTCGCTGGAATCGGTTGCAGTCGCTCTGACCTCTGCCGGTGACTCGAGCGAAGTGGATGGTGATGCCAGAACGCAGGCGTTGACATCCCCCAAGTCCGTCTTGCCAAATCCGTCAATGGCATGCCCATCACTACTCACTTCATATTTTTGAAGGGCCAGGGAGAGAAGGGGAAGGGAGTTCTCCAAATCTGGAGTGTGTTCATTGCGGGGAGGACCTACCATAGATGCGTTTTCCATGGCTGCAGAAGCAGCGATCTCGTCGTAGGCGTCGACGCTGGAGTCAGCGGTTCCGTTTGAAGAGTTCATCTTGAGGACGTATGAAAGAAGCTTATGTTGTGGGAATTGTGAGAAAGTTGTTGGAGGGAGTTGCGAGAAAGATGTTGGAGAAAAGTTTGGAAGTTTATATATAGACCGGCAGCCAGTAGTAAGGTAAGGCGAATGAGAAATAGTAAAGGCAAAAGCAAGTGACGGGCTCTCCTCGAGTAGAAGAGTATCCAAGGTGAACGAAAGTGAGTTAAGATATAGATGCAAGGCGCATTCACCGCGAGTAAGCGAAAGAAGATAAAAGTGTCGGAATTGAACACGAATACTGATGGAGGCGCAAGGGCACAGATGAAAGCCGTAACTAGACTTGCGTCCTACCGCGCAAATGAGAGAAGTGCGTATACAGTAGACAATAGAAGTAAGACAATGGTAAATTTAACGCATGCTGGAATCAAGAATATAATTCGAATGACTCGCACATATCCACCAGCGTTATTTGACTAGAGATATTGGTTTAGGTATAACTACTTGTAAAAGTAGCATAATTTTCTTTCGGCAGGAAGACAGCATTTTATGACAGGTGTAATTGCTATCTATTAAGCATGCTACCACCTAGCAATAATGTAAAGTGACGCCAAAAGGGCCGCTATATGGTTTTGCATGCAGCAAGCGATTGAGATGTGATAACCACGTTTTTTGCCAATTATCAAACCTCAGTGCTCAATCCTCAGACAGCGACACCCAATCTCACAAGTCTTACCAACCTACCGTCGAGGACGACTATGAAGACCTCGGTGACGAACTCTCATCTTCATCCCGCCCCTCAACCCCTGTTGAGCCAAAGGAGCCAAAAGGCAAAGAAAAGGCCGTCGAAGAGTCTGCTCCTACCGAATCCGCAGTGATGACTTCAAAACGAACTCCAGCTTGCTCAAAAGCATCCATAATATGTCCTGCTCCGTAGATATCGCCGTTTCCTGTAACAGTGATTTCCGACAAGTTTTGTAGAGATGCCTTGCAGGCCTCAAGTAAATGCCATAGATCTTCTTCACTGTCCAAAATTTCTTCAAATTCATCCTCCATATCGGCAAATTCAACAAACAAGTTCAACCGCTTGAGACTCAATGGCAACAATTCGGCGACTTTGGATGGAGTCATTGGACAATACTCGCCAGGGCCGTCCTCAACTCCAGTCAAAAAGTGCATTTGAGATATTGTCAGTGTATGCAAATGCTTGAACTGCCCCAGCGACCCAATGCGCCCAGGTTCTTTTGCGTTGGCCCTAGGATCATATTGGACTTTACGAAAATCCAAGTAAAGTGTTTCCAATGTATGAGAATGTTTCAGTAAACCCGGTCTAAAGTCAGCTATTGCTTGCGTAAGGCAGTCGGGGTAGTTCCATGAGCAAACGATGTGTCGGAGCCCTTCGCACGCCAATAAAAGCATTCCCATTGCCTGAACTTCCATAAGGCATTCAGTCATTTCAAGGCGTTGCAGGTTTCTAAACTAGCCAAAATCCATCATCTTTGGTGCAATGCATCCAGTCGCCATAACCCCGGTAGCTCGAATATCAGAAAGCGACGGAACAGATGCCATTGCTGAACAAATACTGTCAAAAAGTGATTCTGTGGCTTCCGCATCATCATATTCATCGAAATTAGTCTCGATACATAAGGTCTCTAGCTGACTAAGACCGTGGCCAGCAAGTAATGTGAAGCGGGGAGCCCCTAAGTGCTTCTCATCTATGACATGTTTCCAAAAAGAGACTGTGTGAGTCTCGGTGCTGGTCACATTGATGTGCTGTAAGTTCGGGGCAGAATTGATGACACCAGCTAGTAAAGAAAGATATTTCTTTATCACGTATAACTCGCCAGGATCGTTCAGGTTTGCGAAAAGATTGTTGCCTTGGTCGTCTGTGAATCGGTTTTCTACATACTGGAGATGGCTAGCGTATGTGAAGACTTTACCAGGGGAGCCCCTTGGTGCTGTTATTTCATCATGGAAGCTTCTAAGAGAACGGAGGCCAACCCACGTCGAGAATCCCGTAAATGCGGTATAGAGAGCAGGAATAGCAAGACGATTTAGATGGCGAGAGGTGCGGCAAAGGTTGAACAGTGATAGCTGACGTAGACGATTTTCCCGTTGACGTGCCCTCTCCTCACTCTTGTCAACAATTGTTGATTGCGTTTCAAAGGAGCGGATGGTGCTGAGGTGAACCAGAACCTCCAAGAGAAGCTCATCCGGGAGGCCTTCAAGTGATGCATTTTCGGGTACCATGATCGGAATATTTTGTTTCGGGCAGGATGTCGTATGTGCTTCCGGTGGCTGGTGTCGAGGTAGTTTTGGTGTAGGTGACGGTTGGAGGCTCTCATACACCCGGCAAAACCGGAAAATCAAAACAACCGGGCATTGTCCACCAAAACTCATAATCAACACCACGAAATATCTCCATTACAACGTGCTCATTTTGTATAGAAAATACGAGCGATTAAATACGTCGTCTTTATTTTTATAATACTTTGTTAAATGAATATAACAGTAAAACATCTTTCACATCCTAATGCTGGTCGTAACAATGCGGTGTTTTGGCGTTATTTTGGCGCCATTTTCCAATTTTCCGGGTTTACCGAGTGTATGAGAGGGAGGCTGGATGGAGGACTATCAAGAAGCTAGTCTGTAAAAGGAAAAATGAATAGAATTAACGCCGGTATCGCCGAGACAGATGCGAAAAAGAATCTACAAGAGAACAAGGAGACTATTTTACATTCATCTGGGTATATCGTACTGGCTCACCATGAGCTATCGGGGAACAACATCAGACTATCCGCTTTGTCCTCCCCGTCTCCACGTCGTATATCCAGCCACTAAAACGAATATTTTCCTCTACTGCTTTGATGCGCAGCCATTGTACATCCTTCTTGACCTGGATCTCCAGATTGTGGAAGGTCTGAAAGTCCATGTGCTCCACCTCTCTTGCGGCGACCTCTCCCCTCTTCTTGGAGATGATGGCTTTCGCAGTGGGGTTGTCGAATGTGAGCATGCCGCATCCGGTATGCTTGACAACCATCACCTCCCTTGTGCCGAGCAATTGTTGTGAGATGATGATTGATCGGAAGGCGTCGCGTACAGATGCGCCTGCGTTGCGGATGACATGGGCGGCTCCGAGTGGTATTCCAAATGCCCTTGTTGGGTCTATTCGTGCGTCCATGCAGGTAACTATTGGTCTGGGGTTAGCAGTTGCTCGCACCGCCTGGACGTGCACGAGAACTCACCGATGGTGTATCTCTGGCTAGGTGGGAGGGCTAGGTGGCCCTGGTTGAAGGTGGCAGCGTAAGCATCGCTTCCGTGCTCCATATTTCTCTCTCCGTGGGACGGCATTGTTGTAGTAATGGGAGGGATATCAGTTATGACTGGTTTTGACCTAACCTGATGCCTAAGCCTGGGTCTTTATATACTCATATGCAATCGGGTCAGCAAGACGGTAGCCGTTGATGCTCAACGAACATGGCGACATTGTGAGGGGGGATTGCGCCAAGGCGGTAATGTGATACATTTGGGGTGAATACGCGCACAACGTGCGACAGAGTCTACGGCAACTATGCGTCTCTGACAGGCGAATAAGCATAACCAGACTGACAGTTGAAGGTGCCCGAGTTTCATCTGGCCAGGGGCCTTAGGCAGATCGCGGTCGCAACGCCTCGAAAGCAGGGCCGTGCTTCTAGCGCGTGGCACCCATGCCAATCCTCCCGTTCCTCCATCCTGCCATAAAGCACTCGAGGCATCACCGTGTCGCAAGAATATATGCAATTTCCGGACCGACCCGACCCAACTTCTTGCTAGTGCGCCCTAGCTGCACTGTGCCTGAAGAGGGGCATCTTGGTGTCTCGCTCTTTTGACACGTCGACAGCCGCACAATGGACACGGCCGAGAAAGCCACACAGCGTCTTATCAGCCAACTCTCGGATCACGTCGGGAAATCAAGCACGCCCCCATAACTGATTACTACGAGGCCAAAGCCAGGCGTCAGAAAGAAGATATATGCGCTCTTCTTGATATATGCGCATTGGTCCTCGCCTGCTGGATGCTCAATGTCATCGCGACATCAGCGTTTTGTCAATGCATTACTTTCTCCCAGACACCTTCACGACCGGCAAACCTCGTACCGTGTATTCCTGTCGGAAGACCAGTGCTATTTCGACATATCCCCTACACCCAGCTCTGGACGCGCCACCCATTGCCCCCATTTTCACACGTGCCAACGAGAGTCTCCTAACAAATCAATAGAACTGTACATGGTCGTGTACCCGATCATCTGTGAGATGCCGATTGGTCGATTGATCCAATAGACCAGTTGCTTTGCGAGTCCTTCTTAACACCCTAAGTACTCATCCCGTCTCAGCGGAATCATTGGCCGCCTCCAAACTGCGGCTTTTTTAATTAACAACTGACGCTCAAAACTCGATTCCGGTTACAAAATTTTCCTTGCTATGCGAACATGGTACACCAAATTATATCGGAATGGATGAGTACTACCACCTCTCGGCGAGCATACCAACAAAGGCACATCCAGGCACGTTCCAAGGCCTTTTGCGGTCCCCAGGAATCTCGAGGGTCACTGAGGTAGCGCTGATTCATTTCATACATTTCCTTGCCTTGAAGGAATATAGGAGCTCGTGATCAGGATCGAGTTTCCAGTAAATTAGGTTCCTTACTGGCATTGAGAAACTCAATCAAAACCCTGACGACGTACACCACGGACGCCATGCACCAGGTCGCCATGAGCGAAGAGGTTAGGACCTTTGGAAATTTTCACGGATTCGTTGTGCGAAAGTGGCTGCAAATAAATTAACAAAAATAATCCAGGACATCGATATGCAAGTAACACTCAACACAGGAAATACTACAGGGAGTGGTTGTGGGTAGGATAATTACAGACTGCCTACATAGACGTCTGCATACTGAGTCGTATTCGTCTCTGCCCACGAAACAGTGCAGGTAGGCTGAAAATGGAAATAACGCCAACATTCCCCTCCACTCCACCTTGTTGGAGCATTGCAAGAGCAGAATAAATTCAATCATTCCATGTTCCAGAGTGGCAGTCGTTCAGAGCATTCGGTACTGTTTCCAGACGGATATGGCTTCTTATCCCGAGATCATGCATACTCATGTTAGTTATGACGCTGTTTGAGCGTCATGGCTTTGAATTCTCACTCCACAAACTCAGGCGATTACCGATCAGCAGTACATACATTAACCGGGACCGCACTCTCACGAACAGTATCACACACTCTCCACCTCCCATCAACCATGAATCTACTACAACCCCCACCCATCGACACGTCCCGCTGGACCCAACACATCGCCCCAGTCACCACAACCTCAGGCGAGAAAATCTGCCTCAACTACATCGACTGCGCAGCCCCATCTTCCTCCAAAACCCGCGGCACTATCCTCCTCATCCACGGCTTCCCCCAAACATCCTACCAATTCCGCCATGTAATCAACCCCCTCTCAACCGCCGGCTACCGCGTCATCGCCCCCGACTACCGAGGCGCCGGCCAATCCTCCAAACCCCCCTCTGGCTATCAGAAAACGCAAATGGCAGAGGACCTGCACACCCTCGTGCACTCGCACCTTTGCCTCGAAGGAAAGATCCACATCGTCGGCCACGACATTGGCGGCATGATCGCCTTCGCATACGCATCACGCTATCCAGACGACACGGCGAGCGTCATCTGGGGCGAGTGTCCTTTACCCGGTACTTCATTCTACGAGGCGCACAAGGCAACACCGGATCTATTCCATTTCGTATTCCACCGCGTGCCCGATCTACCTGAGTTCTTGATTGCGGGCAAGGAACGCGAGTACCTGAAGCATTTCTTTGACAAATTGCTGTTTAGTAGCGCGGCTATTACGCCGGCGGATGTTGATAACTATGTTTTGGCGTATGAGCAGCCGGGAGCTGTGAGGGCCGGGTTGGAGGTTTATCGTGCGTTTGAGAGGGATGCGGAGGAGAATCGGGAGTGGTTGGCTGAGAAGGGAAAGGTGCGGGTGCCATCGTTGGTGTTGATGGGGAAGGAATGCATGCTTTTGGAGGGGGCGGAGGAGATGGCGAGGGAGTGTCATGAGGGTGCTGAGGTGGTGAGTGTGGAAGGGGCGGCGCATTATATTGCGGAAGAAAATCCGGAGGGGTTTGTGGATGCTGTGTTGGGTTTTGTAGAAAGGTATTGAGGTTTCCCACCCTGCATGCTTCATATAGTATCAAGAACTATGTTTCATTGTTTTATATCTCTTTTACATCTATGGTACCTTGACGTTAAACTTGCCAGTAGCCTCCGGCTTCGACAAAATCCACAGAATACCATTGTTAACACACTGATCCCAGTGCTCAGAAGCCTTTAGCGCATTTCCGAATCGCCTATGACCGTGCGGCACGCCCTTGAAAAGAGTAATATCAGTAGGCACATTTGCCTCTGACAGCGTCTTGGCATACAGTAGCGCCTCGTCACGAAGGGGATCCAAACCAGCAATACCAAAGACGCTTGGCGGCATGCCCTTGACCTCATCTTCCGTTGCATTTCCAACGTTAAGCTTCGTACACTTCAAATCAGGTTTTCCTGTTTGCAAGAGGCCTGCGAAGAAATTGGCGACATTTGCGCTGAGAAGAGGTGCGTTGGCATTCTCGACATACGATGGCACCTTGAGCTTCTTGCCGGGGCCTTCGTCGTATGTGTAGGGCGATGAGAGACAAGGGATGATGAGAACTTGGCCGATCAATTTCGGGAGGTCTTTGGTGACATCGCTTTTTCCGAGATGCTGCTCTATCGCGAGAGAAGACGATAGTGTTCCGCCTGCTGAGACACCACCGACAATGACCCTCGATGGGTCGCCTCCAACCTCATCAATGTTCTTGTGGAGCCAGGCGAAAGCGTCTTGGGAGTCGAGCCAGGCTGTGGGAAACACATAGTCGGGTGCGTGTCGGTAGTTGACGTTTAGCACCACGCAGCCAGTTTTGATGGCAGTTTGCGCGCAGGTTGGATCCTCGCTCTTGATAGAACCGAAGATGAAGCCTCCACCGTGAAAGTACAGGTATACAGGAAGTTTCTCGGATGCATCCTTGTCCACAGGCCGGTAGGACCGAGCCTCGATTGTTGAGCCGTCCCGGGTGGGTATCGAGTAGTCTTTGGTCGTTACATGCGGCGCGAAATGCTGCATTGCTTCGGCAGCTTTCCCTTCTCTTTCAGCATTGACAAACTTCTGGAGTGTAGCGGGGTCCGCTGAGGTGTCGAAGTTTAGTTGAGGTAGTGTCTTCTCCAGGGCAAGCCATTCCTCAGATGGGCCGCCATACTGTGAAAAGTCCAAAGCCATGATGTTGTTTGGAAAAGATGCTTTGATACTGTCAGAAAGTGTAAGATTTCAACTGTCCGATCTGAGATGCGATCTGAGATGCGATCGATTCAATCGGACAGGAGGTCTCGCTTATGTATTGATGCATATCTCGCCCGTCTCACCGCCACGTCCGAGTCCGCATCCGCCGCCTGCGTACTATTTGTTAGCGTCACCCCTACAATGGACCGAGGTTCATCTATCGGCACTTGATTCGACAAGAACAATCCATGATTAGGCATCCCACGGTAGTTACGTACTGTACCAGAATGTTCGAGTTCACCTGATTGCACGTTGCTTGCAGACATGTAAGCCAAAGAGCTTGCCGAGGTCTACGTACCCATTCAGATTTTTTCGATTACGATCACCAGTGACGTTCATCTATAGCCTGATTGGGGAAAACGACGTGGTTGGGAGAACTGGCCCCAAAAGGGCAGTCCGGTATTGTGAGGAGAGCTAGCAACGGTCCAAGACGTTCGTGTTATATCTGCTGTGCCCACTGACGAGGATGATGGTGTATTTTACTTATACTCAGTCTGAAGACGGACTGATACGTAAGAAAATGAACCCGCACCTGAGAACTGTCGAATTAGCAACCCGGTCACGTCCCGCAAGTGTTGAACGCGTGCAACGTGGTGGGGCGGGGTAGCTGTAGATGTTAGGTGGGGCAATACGCGGTAGCTGTCCGACGCGACATGACCCCATCTAGTAATTGATGGACATCACGTGCGCCAGTATCGGTCACGTTCCTTGGCTGAGGGCATAGCATCTGATAGTTGTCAGTATGTGAGTAACACATGGTCGCCAACTGCAAAAATTTTGCCACATCATTTTTTGGCAGCCCTATGCATCGGTTGGTTGACATTCTACATCTTCAAATTAACATCACGGAAAGGCCGCAATATTGCAAGGACATGTCACAGAAAAAACAGTGGTCATTATACAGCATTCAGAATGGCAATAGATAGAACTAGAAAGGTAAAAGCCTTGGTAAACATCTCGACATCAGCACCGCACCCTAGCCCACCATGGAGTTCCACATGAAGGCAGGGAAACTAGATTAAGTCTCCCGTTAATATACATTGTTCATATGCCCAAATACCAATGCTAGGATAAAGGGGAATGATTACTATTACGAACAAGGTCATGATTAACATGAGACCAATCGCTGGGTGGCGAGAAACACTGCATCTTGAATAAAACTGCCATGCCGAATATGGCAAGAACTACGATAGTCCTTCCCACCGAAAACGAGACCAATACAAACTGGCTTTGGCTTTGGCTAGCTCCCGCCTTCTTAACGTATTGACTATGCTTGTACGCTGTAGACGCTGGATGGGAAGTAAAGTCCTGGCATTGTCATGCTTACTAGGACGACCCTATACTACCAGGGCATGATATCCGAAACCGTGACATCTAAGTTCGAATTTGTTGCTTTTTTTGACATAAATATAGTAGTAATCTGATTTTCCCCGTCACGTCCAAAGTCGTCGCGCACCAACATGACTAGTATTCCATCTGCAAGTAACGTATCACGATGACCGAGGAGATAAACGCGGCGTGAATCAAAGTATATGCTCTCATTCGCATGACTACGTGTTGTGGTAGGCGGCACTATACACGTATCTGATGAGCAGTGTCAGCTCCAGAACGGATGACGTGTGGAAACGACGAGTCATGCACATGCAAGGTCCCGTTCTAGCGTTTCCGTGCCAACCCGCTAGCTGCACCCCGGATCTCCACTTCTAGCCACCCCCATCCATAGCCCCATCATCCATCTTCTCTCCGATCCATCAACATACATCTTCGGTGTGCAGCTGGCTGGCATCACAAATTCAGTTTCTACGCGTAAATAGCCTTCCAACCGATCAAGCATCACCGGCAGTTCATCATGTCGGAGAAGACGCTCCTCGCGTCAGCCGCACCTGCAACGGCGCCACAGGCGCCAGCAGTACACTCAACCAGGCGTCAAGCATTGCGCAAGATATTTGCTGTTGCTGCTACAGCTTCGCTTATCCTTTATGGACTCCCTCGCGGTATGCATATTCACCCTTGTAATCCATATGTGACCCCTGACACGTGCTAGCCGGTTATGAGCCCACGGGTGACTACCAAGAGGACAGCGAGCTGTGCCTGACTCCAGCCTGCGTACACGCGGCGTCTGAGGTCCTGCACAGTCTCTCGCCCCGGTACAAGGAGCTTGATCCATGCGACGACTTTGAGGAGCTGGTCTGTGGCGGATGGAGAGACCGCCACGACCTCCGTGCTGACCAAGGCGATGTCTTCACGGGTACCATTATGAGTGAAAACTCACAGATGCTCCTGCGTCACATTCTTGAAGCACCCTACCCAAAGGATTCGGCGGTAAGCTTGTAAAGCACCGTAGGAATTAATAGAACTGACGAATGCATAGCATTCCTACTTCTCACCTATGAAGCTGATGTCTGTCTCCAAATCCGCAGATGAGGAGAACTTTGACAAGATGAAGGCCGCCTATGATGCTTGTCTTAACGAAGACCAAATCAAGAGTGCCGGTGTACAGCCTCTTGTACGCGTCTTGGACGAAATCAAGAAGGCCTTCCCTGTTGGCGCGTCCGAGTCCCCTTCAATCAAAGAAGCTATCCTCCATTTGGCCAAGTACGGCATATCTGGCCTTGTAGCCGCTGGCACTGGCCCTGATGACACTGATCCTGACACTGTGGTCGTGTCTGTAGCTGCGCCTGGCAGTATTGGGCTTCCTTCTAAGGAGCGGTATGAAGATGAGAAGCTTGTTGAGAAATACCGTGATGTTGTTGTCCAGGTTCTCAGTGCTCTCTACCCAGACTATGACAAGGCCACGTTTGCAAGCATCATTGATCTCGAGAAGAAGCTCGCGGCTGCATCTCCCAGTGAGGAGGACAGAGAGGACGTTACCGTAAGTTCATTCCTCGTGAGCTTCATACACTATATATCACGCACGCCTGGTGATGCCAGGTGCTCAGCACGATGTATAAGATGAAAACACGATGCTTGCTGTTACCTTTGGCAAAGCTAATATGATCTAGAAAGCTTACAACCCGATGAGCATCGATGAGGCCGCAGCGATTGCTCCTGAGATTGAACTGAAAGCGGTGCTCGAAGCTCAAGCCCCTAAAGATACCAAGATTGAGCGTGTTATCGTGGCAACCCCCAAGTACTTGAAAGACCTATCAGCCATCCTGGCTGCGACACCAAAAGATGTTCTTCAGGGCTATTTCATGTGGAAGGCTGTTCAGTCCTTTTCCGCTTATGTTGATGCGGACGCCGTCAAGCCTTACCGCCGCTTTGTCAACATACTGTCTGGCAGGGTATGTATACAATCCTTTGACCTCTATTGTGGATTCTGACTTTGGCAGGACCCCGACTCTGCTCCCGAGCGATGGCGTACGTGCGTTAGACACGTCGACAACGGCCTAGGTTGGATCCTTAGTCGATTCTTCGTAGAAAAGGCATTCTCTGCCAAGGCTAAGACTTTCGGTGACACCATCGTCACTGATATCAAGACTGAATTCACCAAGAAACTCAACGCAGCCCAATGGATGGATGATGATACTACGAAGAAGGCAGTCGAGAAGGTTCACAATATCGTTCAGAAGATTGGTTACCCAACCAAGAGCCCAGACATCATGGACCCGCCTACGCTCGAAAAATACTACGAGCCGGTCAATGTCTCTTCAGACACCTTCTTTGAGAACGAGGTTGCCGTCCGTCTTTTCTCTGTCAAGGAAGAGTGGTCTGCTCTTGGCAAGCCTGTTAACCGTGACGAATGGGGCATGACTGTCCCAACCGGTAAGTGACTGTACCCTGAATGTGTTCAACAACCCCTTCTGACTAAGCTCAGTGAACGCCTACTACAACCCCCCTGGTAATGAAATCGTCTTCCCAGCGGGTATCATGCAGTTCCCCGTCTTCGATGTCGAAATCCCAGAATACATGTCCTATGGTGCATTTGGTTCTGTCGCTGGTCATGAGCTCAGCCACGCCTTTGACAGCACAGGCCGTCACTACGATCAAAATGGCAACCTCACGGATTGGTGGTCCAAGGGCACGATCGATGCTTTCACGAAAAAGACTGAGTGCTTTGTTGAACAGTACTCCAACTTCACGGTCCCAGGACCCGACGACAAGCCTCTCCACGTCAACGGTCGTCTTACACTGGGAGAGAACATTGCCGATGCAGGTGGTCTGTCAGCAGCCTTCCAAGCATGGAAGCGCCGCTCAGCCGAAACCCCCAACAAGAACCTTCCTGGCTTGGATCACTTCACCCAGGAACAAATGTTCTTTGTCAGCTATAGTAACTGGTGGTGTGGTAAGACGCGCAAGGACACCGCAATCAACTGGATTTACACCGACCCACATGCTCCAAAGTGGGCTAGGATTTTGGGTACTATGGCCAACTCGAGAGAGTTCAGGGAGAGCTTCCAGTGCAAGGTCAAGGAGCCTACCTGCCAGTTGTGGTAAGTTTATGAGGACTACACGCTTAAGAATGATGAGTAGTACCTTCAATGGTCGCTGGAGTCATGGTGCAGGGTTCCCGTTATCGCTTCTACTACATGTATAAGGTCTTTAGTGCTCGTCTTATTGTAATTGCTGGAAATCAACAAATTTTATTAGTGTATGTACTATCAAATGCACCCACCCATCGCGCGCGTGACATGAGCCTGTACTTTGCAGTGCATACCTCACAACATTATGACGTGTCCAACAACCACTTAGCAGAGGCCATCCAGTTCCCACATGATCTGATAATTCAGGTCAATGAAGCCCACTTGCATAGACTTAGTAAACCCTGCTTTGCAACCCCTGATGCCCCTTCCAGGAGTAGCGTTCTTGATTTGATAGTCATCAGTGACTTTACTTACGTGGCTAGGCTAGTTAGCCTTTCATATGATTTGGAGCTGGCATTGCCCGATAAGTGTTCGGAATATGCATGAGATCTCTGTGTGCGTCGCTGCATTCTACCTAGAACGAACGACTCATTCATAATATGTCTGCAAACCATTGATGCGACAAAGCTTTACGAGCTGTGATCTGCCTCTTTGAATCAATATTCGTCATATTCCCGACCAGATCCTTGAATTCCGGTTCAATGTCTTTCCACAGTGCGAACGGCTCCCGAGGAAACTCTTTGATGAAGCCCTTTGCGATGACAGTAAATAGTTGGGCCCAAGGGACTGTCTCCCAAATACTGGAGCAGGACCGCCCAGACTCTCTAGATTAGAAAATGTAAGGCAATTGTCGTTTGAGAACGATAGCTAGCCTTGTCCTCTCCCTTCCTTGAGTTCTTCGTCAGCAATCGTTTCATGAGAGGACGTGGGACGTTTTTCTGAGCGAAAGAAAGTAGATGGTCCTTAAAGTACTTGTAGGCGAACATGGAGGGATCTGGAATCGCGTCGTCTGCGACGCGGATATAAGGTGGCCTTCTAAGGTCACTGAACATGTTTTAGAAGTATTTGAAGTTATTTTTTGTTACGCTCTTCAAGTTGTATTGCTGGCTCCCATCTTTATATATGTGTCAGTGGATTATAACGAAATTAAGCCTAAGTGGACTCACGACGCAAGATACACTCGTCCAAGCAGCACTAGTTTCTCTTGTAGAAGTTTTTCAATGAAATACTGACAACCTGGTTGACCTACGGCTCTCGCGATAGCAGCCGTTAGGTGCGCAGAGGATGTGCAAGACCGTAATACCTTCTATGTAGAGACTAGCCGCCCCACACTTTAATTGCGATAGTTGGGCAGAGATAAGAGACTTAAGTAGATAGTAGCAGGATCTCTACTGTTTTATTAGTACGTCTCTTTGACTATTATCTAACTAGAGCAAGTAAGACCTAACTCTTGTGCCTCCGCTAAGTCATTAGTGCAAGTGTCTGTAGTAGCCAGTAGCCTTATTCCCTAGCATACCCTCATTGTATTAGATTTCTTCTATTTAGTAGTTGATTTTAAGAGGCAGAGACGATGTATATATATTTAAATCTTAAAAATATTCAGTATAAATAAGAGCAATTTCCCCTCTTTTAATAGGATATCTTAAAGTTCTAAGTAGATAGATTTTACTTAAAAGTTTAAGATTCTTCGGTAATAATCTTTCTTCTTGTAGTATAGTATGTTAGTGATATACTTATATTGCGTAGGTTTACTTTATCTTCTCTATTACCTAACCTCTCTACACCAGTACATCATACTCGTATACTCTACCTAACTTAGTAGACTTAATAGGGCTCAGCGGCACACAGAGTAGACTAGTCTGCGATGGAACCTCATCGAAATTTTCACAGTCAGTTATGGTACTCGAACATCCTAGCAAAGGATTTTAGTCAAGAAGGAAAAGAGACCCTAGATACTGGTACTAAATCGGCCTATGCTATTACACCTGCGGGTCTAGACGCTCTGGCTGTTCTTAGAATTAAGATAAATAAGCACCTGCTTTTAAATTTACCAGACTGGAAATCGTTGAATTTCTCAGCACATACCAAGCCAACGCGTTACGCCAGGCTGCGCCTAAGCATTGGCAACTACAATAACAAGGATGCTAGAAATCCAACAGCCCTAGTGTACGCATACCTTAAACCTCCTTCTAGCTCCGTCATGGGACCTACACTCGCCGTCGAAATTATTACAACTCATGTCATGGACGGTTCTAGTACCAAAACCGTGGTTAGCGAGCAAGCTATTCATAGTACTAAAACCAAACCTCCTACCTATCTTTAAGGACGCTGTTGATTCACTACAGCCTAATGCGACAATTGAGTACTTTTCTCTACTCGCTACAAAACACTAGCCTGCCGGGTTTAAACAATACTTTATTCCTATCAACCAAACGTTTTAATCTTCTAAAAAGGGTTTACGAAAAACGGCGCCGCCGGGCACTTCAGCACTATATCTATCAATGTACTATTCGCTAGGAACGAACTAGGAGAGTTCTAGGTTGTCGTGAGAAGTTTCTACAACAACGCAGAGATTTTAGGAATTCGGGTTCGGCTTAGCGCCCTCGTTGATGCAAACGGTGGGTAAGAGCACGAGGCCGAATGAAGTATGCAGTGAAAGCTGATAAGAATGAGTTTAAGCTAGAATGGTCTTAACTAGTAGTTAGCGTGGAGGCTATCAAATCCTTAAATGCTAGTAGGAATAATATGTAGGTGGTGGGAGTTTTGAGTACAAAAAATAGAATCTTTCCTCGATCTATTATGAAAATACCTAAAGAACTTAACCATGTGTACTGCATAAGAGCAAAGTAAAATCAAGAACGAGATTAAAAGTCTAGTCTTACCTACCTGTAGGACTAGTGCTGCCATCACTAGTGTAGTTTCACTCCAGTACGTGAGTGAATACTTGTCTCTAGCGTTTGCACGATAACAAACTAGACCGAATCTAGATCTAGTCTTTCACTTGGGCAGTGAAAGTCATCTTACTAATATTTTACGCGTTAGAATAAACAAACTACGCGCTTTATTTACCACACTCATTTGGCGCTTCTTCTTTACTCCACTCCCTCAGTCTTGTTAGAAAGACAGCACACTCCACCGCTAGTAAGCAGAGCTATCCCCCTCTTACCTTATACTACAACTAAGTATACTCAGTGGCTTCCGTGGCTACAGCAACGTATGTTGCTTCTAAGAACTTAGCTGAAATCTGCGAACAACTCGGGGAGCCCGTTGCAACCTTGCTGGGATATTTGCCTCTCGATAAGGTCATCACCAAGACGCAAAATCATGAAAAAGATGCCATATCATTCATGCTACTGTTCGGTGACGTTCGTAAGCAGTCGGTGGACGAAACCCAGGAAGTCTGGGTCTTGCTTTATCCACCTACTAAGGAGGGCGAGCCAGCTACCCTCGAATTCAGCTCGTACGATAGAACTACTGGAGACTCAGAACTTCATAGCAACCACAACATTAGTACAAGGGTAGACAATGCAGCTGCATTCAAAATGCCTAAAAGGCCATCGCGCGGCAAGCATAGTGCACTAGTACGGTACTACTTCTTAAAGAAACTTGCAGCTACTGAAGACGAAACAAACGGCATTTCCGAGCTCAAGTTTCCCCTGCCAGTCAACAAAGGCATTCTCGATGGCTTAAAGCTGGCATGTAGCGAGTTTGAGGACGAAGCAAAAGCTACGCTGGCTAGGTCCGTTAGGCAGCTATCAGTCACTCTCCCAGAAAGCCAAGAAAGCGATGCAACCCTCGACTTCGAAGACTCCAAAGAACCCATCAACGAACAGCTCCGGCGTGCATGGGCCCCATTCCGAACTTCATATCGTGCACCAACAGCAACTATGGCTACTACTACTACTACTACTGCTGCTGCTGCTGCTGTTCGCACTCCAGTAACTTCTCCACCCCCCAACTTACTAGAACCTACCATACTAACACAAACAGACCCCACCAGCCTCCCAAGACCTCATTGCCCAAGCCCTCGTCTCCCTTCACGAAAAAGAAGCAAACATCAAGGCACACATTGCAAACCTTGACGACCACCTCATTGCTCTAGCAGAACAGCGCATAGACCTTGAGCAGCGCTGCAAGAGCGTCGAAGCTGAACGCCTGGTCGCTGAAAAGGAAATCGCTCATATCAAGGCGCAGCGTGAAGATCTGTTCGAGGGCTTGAGTCCTGCGGCGGTGTTTGAGCTAGGCAGGAAAAGCGAGCAGACGAATCCTACCAAGCGGCGTAAGATTGATTGAGCGCTTGCAGTTGCGAGCTAGTATACTACGCTTGTGATGTTTGCGGGGAAGACGTGCGGTTAGGGCTAGGCGTTGTTGGATTGGGGCTCTACACGGCAATAGTGAGATGTAAGCCATAGGGTGTGGCTTTGGTGGAGAGTAATCAAAGGCAGAAGAAATACATGTAGAGATGCTGGTTGGGATTGTGTAACTACGGGCAATAGTACTTACAAAATCTCCCTTGTAGTAGGCGGGATAGTAAGGAGTTTAGCATGAATGTAGAATCACTTTAATAAAAAATACAATTGCCTAACGCTAGTAACAATGACCGTAGATACATGAATATGCGAATGCAGTGAGATGGGCAAGAGCAACTTTAGCAACAACAAACTGATTTCTAGTACCCCACTCCCACACTTACTACTTCACTTTCACCCCACAGCCCCATCTACCCCACAACTTCTCCTCCCCCCTCCCCTAAAGTGACACGAGCTAAATGAACATATAGTAGGCTATGTGTATCGTAGCACACGATTTGTGCGGGTTCACATGCACATGTCACGTCTTAGGTAATGTTCAGCTCATGTTGCACTGATCTCCTTTGTGTGATAAAGGGTCATTTTCACTCGATATGACTCGTCGTATCCGCTCGTCTGCTCTGCTCTGTATTAACACAAAGGATTTCACTAATATTAGAAATCGCCCCTAGACAAATTCACCGCGTTAGCGCTTCACTGCACACAAAAGGTCACCCATAATCATGCAAGACAACGATTCATAAACAAGACCGATACTTCAGCTATGGATGGGGAAGTGATAAAAGCCTGGGAATCAAAAAAAAAGAGTAAAAACAAATAGATAACAAATCCCTTCTTTCTTTACGCGTCCATCTGCCACATTTAGTAATAAGAAAGGGGCATAAGCACTTGTTTGTCGACAACACCGTAATGGGAAAAAACACCCGAAAAATAATTCAAGTAATGTCATCAGAAAGCAAAACCATCAAGCAATAATCGGGGAGAGACCCCAGAGTGAGGATATTGAAGGCCGCGGTGGTGATTGGGGTGGTGATGACGGTGAAGGTGGCAACGATAGTTGGGGTGGCGGCGGCGGCGGCGGCCAGAGTGCAATCTCAGGACCTGTCTAAGGTCCGGGGTACCTGTCGAACCTCCAGATTCGTGCGCGCATGTCACCGCTACCAGTAGCAAAGACGCCTCCTGTAGGGCTGGGGGCGACGGAGATGACTAAATAGCCAGTCAGTAAACAATCTACGTGGGTAGGACATAGTAATAAACATACCAGAGTTCTTGTGTCCCTGCAACATAAGCTGTGCGACACCAGTGTGGGGGTCCCAAAATTGGACACCGCGGTCCTTGGAACCACTGAGCACCCAATCACCGTGCGGGGTAAGCGCGACACTGAGAACAAAGTCCTTGTGTCCTTCAAATGTGCGGATGCACTTGCCACTGGGGTGGTTCCCATTGGGAACGAAGCGGTTCTGAGTCGATAGCTCCCACATCTTGATAGTCTTATCCAGACTGCCACTAACCAAACGGTTACCAGAAGGAGCGAAAGCAACACTATAGACACTATCCTTGTGGCCGTGCTCGCCCTCGAGACGGACGACAAGCTGGCCAGTCTGGATATCCCACACACGGACACTCTTGTCAAGGGAACCGGCTGCGACGTAAAGGTTGTCGGGCGAAATGGCCACAGTAGTGACGCCATCCTCAATGGAGAAGTTTGAAACTTGCATGTTGGACTCAAGATCCCAAAGACGGACGCTCCTATCGCCACTTCCGGATGCAATGATCTTTCCGTTCCTGGCAAAGTCGAGCGAGTAAATATCCTGCTCGTGGCCGGTGAATTGATGCTTGATGGTGCGGCTAGCAATGTCCCAGACCCTGATGACCTTGTCTTCAGCACCAGTGGCAAGGTATTGTCCGTTGGGGCTGAAGCAGACGCTTCGGATGTAGAGGTCTCCATCTTCGGGCAGACTACCGTCCTGGAGATGGGCGACTGGGCTACCAGTCTCGACATCAAAAATCTGCGCGGACCGGTTGCAACCAGTGGCGACCCACCTACCGTCCAAGCTAAAGCGAACACAGCAAACCACACTCTGGTGGGGTAGATTGTGAATGAGGTCAACATCAAGAACCCGCCTGGAGCGAGGGTTGAAGACGGCGAACCAATCGCTACCCTCCTTCTTGAGGTTTTCAGGCAATTGCTCAATGTCAAGGTCAGCCAGGACGTTACTCTGGCTGAGAGGAATGTGGTTGGGTGGCATCAAGGGATTGGCCTGGTGGTGAGGAGGAGGAGTTGGTCGTGGGACCTGGGGCGATCCGGGATAGGGGGCGGGGTTGTTCTGCTGAGGAGTTGCTGGGTTGGGTGGTCCACGGGCAGGGCCTGGACGCTTAGCACCAGGCGAGGCAGTAGGCTGTGGGGGTCCGTAGCCTAGGCGTGTTAGTGATCATGTTCAACTAGTGCAAGAAAGGTCTGTGAAGCTCACCGTTGACGGATGGGCCGGGCTGGTAGCCACCAAAATGCTGTGGCGGGCCTGGGGCAGGGTTCAGTCCTGGTGGTCCTTGAGGACCGCCGAGCTGTGGTGGCATGCCATGTCCCTGCTGTGGTTCTTGTGGAGGAGGAGCCAGTCCTGGGCCACCCTGGGCAGCACTACCCGCCATAATACCGCCAAAGAGGTTGCTAGGTCCATGGCCAATCTGTGGCGGCTGCGGCTGCGAGGGGCCGTGGTGCTGCGAGTTCTGGCTGGGTCCACCGCGAGCCTCGACTTCACGCTCTAGCTGGGCAATGCGCTCTTCATATCTGCGCGGGCGTCAGCATGTGCGGTGGCGGCATGCAAGGCCGGGAAGAGGTGAGCTACTCACTTTGCCTTCATCTGGTTGTGTGACTGCTCGAGCGAGTAGACTTTGCTGCGGATCAATTCGATTTCCTGAATGTGACGAGTGACTGTAAAGGGGTGGTGGTTAGCATGTGCGCAGACGCTGTCGAGCTCAAGACTAGGGAAAACGTGGTCGAGTATGTTTGCATGGTGACGAGCGCGACAGCAAGACATTGTGCATGTGTGATGCGCTGTGATGCGGTGGTAACTACTCACTCTGCCCTTCATACTCAACGCTGCGCTGAGATTCCGTCTCAAACTCGGCCTTGATGTTGTCGAGAAGCTCGTTGAGGCGCTGGGCTGGGGTAGCCTGGGGGCCCCCCATGACGCGGGCAGGATAGTGGTTCATGGCCACAATGGGGAGGGGAGCGGGGGCACAAGAAGCGAAGATGGACAGTCAGGCAGCTGCGCGTTGCGGGCTGGGGAGACGCGAAGAGGCGGGTGCGGAATGCGACGGTCGCGTAGGCGGCGGTGGGTCGCAAGGCTGTCGGCGCAGGGCCAGCAGGTAGCACGGGTCAAGAGACTGGGCGGAGGAACGGGCGTGGTGGTGGGCGCGCCAGGGGTGGGATGGATAGATGGCGGTGGTGGTGGTGGTGGTTGGGGGGTTGGGGTTGGGGCTGGGGCCAGTGTGCAGGCGGAGATAGCTTGGTGTTGTGAGGGTAAGTAAGATGGCTGAGGTTTGAGCGGAAGGTGGGTGGGTCGCAGCAGCCTAGTGCGATGCTTGGCTGCACGGAGGAAGAATCGTTTCGAGCACGGCGGGCGGAAGGGACCAAGGCAGGGCCATTCGCTCCACGGCCGCCCGTCCTGCGGGCCCTGAGCACATGCTGACTGCTGCGCACATACATGGACGGGCGCGGATGCTACTGCTCTACACACGTCCATACAGACTACATACATAGTAGTGCGCAGTGCTATGCCGCCGACATGCATGCTGTCTCTGCGCCCAATCCAGGCCGTCCACCCGCTCCACACGCTGCCCGGAACCCATGCCCGCGCTAGTTCTGCCCGTCCCGCCGCGCTAGCCCGCTTTGGGCGTCGCTGCATTGTGCACGTGACCGTCCCATGGCCGTCGGGACAACACCATTTTTTGGCCAGTGCCATTCGACGCCCGATGCCATGTCGACATGTCGACATGTCGAGTCTCCTCCCTTTTGCGCAAATGCACGCCGCCCGCTGCTGCGCGTGGCACAGCTCATCACAATGTGTCGCCATACACCCGCAACCAGGCTAGGCACAGCGGCACCATGCAGTATCCGATGCTGCGTTGCGTGCCGTGCAATGCCATCTTCGCCCTCGGCCTCCAAACACAAGAGTCCCTGTACTCACCCTCACGATGGCTACACGACGCCCTAGATGGCTCGACGTCAAGTCTGTTGACCGCCACGCCCCCGCAACTTGCGCGTCCATCTTGTCTGGCCAGGCCGGGGTCCTTCACACGTACCAACCCAAGCAGACATGTGTACGTATGGACATACATAGAGAACTGTACATAAATACACAATCCCGTCCCAAGTAGGAAAGCGAGACAGGGCCGTGTTCGCTTGCTGGAGCAGTAAAGCGGTAATGCTGTAATCACTCCCGAGCCGGCTAGCGGCCTCGCCTATGCCTTCCCCCGATGCAGAGGCTCACCCTACCTTACCACCACTTCGTCCCGCGTCCGCCCATCGTCGTGTCACCCTACTCCAACCCATCTTGCCCTTCCCGTTGCTTCTCGCCACGCCTACAGTACCCGGTGACTGCGTCTTGCTCCATTCACTGCTTCTGATAGGCAACACGCCTTCGTCAATAGGCCCGCGTTCCGTTCGCCCTGCGCTGTACCCTATCAGCTGCCCTCAAACGCCGCTGCTCCACGTCACATTGTTGCCGCGCCCAGCAATGTGTACACTGGTAATTCCACTGTCTGTGCAAGTCACCGTATATGGTCTGTGAATGGGTCCAGTCGAGTCGTCTATATAAACTGCCTCTGCCGCGAGGTCAACATGCATACAAGACATTACTCTGTTCTATCCAAGTCTGCCATCAATTGCTGTGATACACATCAACTATCCCCTTGAAATCCATACCCAATTGCCCCATAGCCCAATTGCTACAAACCACGCACAAGTCCTACTCGGTTTGCTTGCCATGTCACTTCACGCATCGGCTGACAACACCGCTGAACGGCGGCCAACGTACCACCGTCGGCCCACCTTCGAACGACGTCAGCGAAGCGTCACCGCTTTCATGTCGTCGGACTCTCTGCACAAGTTAAAAGAGGAGCAAGGCACGCTTGACACTGCCGTTGAAGTTAGTACCCTTTTTCCCTCTTGCCCAAACACACTACTCATATGTTGCACGATCAGGCTGTGTATGCTGGTCTCGCCGTCAGCCAATCAGAAGACGGCGAGATCGACTATTGTATTGCTTTGCATGACGGAAGATACACCATCAGCAGCGAAACCAAGCCTTTGGCCACGGCGCGAAGCGCACGCAACTCGTCCGACGACTCGTCAAAGTCCACATCAAATGTGTCCACGCCTGAATCGGAACAAGATGCCCCCGAGGCCCTGATCAGCGCAATCACCACCTTCTTGAGTGAATACCGAGAGGACCGTGTCTTGAAGCCCATGGGCGCTGGCCTGACTGCCGAGCTCCACCGTCTGAGCCCTCATCTAGCCGTGCGTCTGTGGCAGGAGCTTGACATCCTACCCTTTGTTTTCCCGATTGAGCCACATGACAAAACCGAGCACACGTCGATGCCTGTGGACCAACAGGCAGAGTACATGGCTAGGAAGGCCTCCAAGCGCTTCAATGTCAGGGGCGATCTTCCAGTTCAGATGGGCCATCGTCGACAGGTCTTGGTTGATCTTGACGGGTGCGTGAAAATCACTGAACTCGACAGCTACAAAGATACCGTCAGGGCCGACACGACAGGAGCTGCAGCGATGCACTATGCCAACTCACTCAAGAAAAACAACATCAAAATTGCTTTTTTCAACAGCACAGCACAGGGTGGAGGGGTAGCATTGATGAGACACGCGCTAATCCGATATCTGCGCCTTGTCGGAGTTGATTGCAAATGGCAAGCTTCATCAATTCCAACTACAGCTATTTCATATTAACAAGTCCACAGGTACGTCCCTTTTGGAAAGAATGATATTTTCCGAATCACCAAAGACAACCACAACATCCTCCAAGGCGTAGCAAGGGACGGCGAGCGCCTGACTGAAGAAAAGATGGCCAAGCTTGACGAATGGGTCCTTGAAGAGGCAGCAAAGTGTCATTGGACCGAGTTTGGCGGTCCACTCTCTGCTCGTGACAAGGGCGGTGCCGATGTGATTATCGTCGACGACCCCCAGATGCCTAGCCTCGTGAAGATTGCCAAAGAAAAGGATCCTGCCCGTCCCGTCATCTTCCGTAGCCACATCCAGGTGCGGGCCGATCTTGCTGACCAAGAGGGAACAGCCACGTCCGAGGTGTGGAACTGGATTTGGAACCATATCAAAGATTGTGACATCTTCGTCAGCCACCCTGTTCGCGCCTTTGTTCCCAAGAATGTCCCTCCAGAGAAGGTGGGATTCATGCCTGCCACGACCGACTGGCTAGACGGACTCAACAAGCACATGCACCACTGGGACGAGCAGTTCTACATGCATAATCTTAGAGTTCGGTGCTTTGAAGTGGGTATGCGTCCGATGGCCCTCCCGGATCGTAAGTACATCACTCAGATTGCTCGTTTCGATCCGTCAAAGGGAATTCCAGATGTTCTTGCATCATATGCTCGCTTGCGCAAGGTGTATATGAAGGACGCCCCTCTTGAACAGATTCCACAGCTCATCATTGCTGGCCATGGGGCTATCGATGATCCTGATGCTACAATAATCTTTAAGCAGGCGGCAGATGCATTGGCAGGCGACTACAAAGACATCAGACAGGACATCATCATGATGCGTATCGGCCCTTCGGATCAGATGCTCAACACACTCATGTCTTGTGCCCATGTTGCTCTACAGCTCTCCACTCGCGAGGGTTTCGAGGTCAAGGTCAGCGAAGCACTTCACAAAGGTACTCCCATCATTGCAACTCGTGCTGGCGGCATCCCGCTTCAAGTTCAGCACGGCAAGTCTGGTTTCCTTGTGAAGCCTGGCGACCATGATGCAGTCGCAAGGCATCTCTACGACCTATTCACTGATTCTGAACTGCACACAACCATGTCCGAGTATGCCAGCCACCATGTCAGCGATGAGGTCAGCACGGTAGGCAATGCATTGGCTTGGCTGTATCTGGCAGACGAGCTTGCCAAGGGTGAGCATATCAAACCCAACGGCCAGTGGATCAACGATATGGCTAGGCAGAAGGCTGGCATTCCGTACAAGAATGATGAGGATAGGTTGGTAAGAGATGTGGACCTGACAATTAATTGAGAGCAGGGGGGCTGAAGGGCGGGGTAAGGTGGATATGACCGGTGTCTGGTACTATGGTTTCCTTCTTTCACATGTGTCCTGTCTGAGTAGGATGTAAACCTAATGGGTATGTGCGGGGGGTGGGGCCATGAATGCAGTAAGCCTTATCGGTCCTCGTGCAAGGGCAGAATCAAAACGTGGAATTTCTACTACTTTGGTCCAGACAGTTGACATGACATATGTACCAGTGTTTGGCCTGAAGAGAACCATGGTACAAGCATGGATGTGGACATGCAGTGCAATGGCGCTGGTCTTCTGGCGCCATTCCTTGCAGCTGCCCTGCAGCATGGCTACTACGTACTAGGTGGATAGTAGTTGGACGACCATCGCCGTGACGGGCTTCCAATGACGGCCAGCACGCGGCTAGTCCTCACGCCCATTTCGTAACACGCTCGACCTCACCGCCTTTCCCCAGGCGTTCACGATGGAGTCGTGTGTGCATGGCCCAGCAGCAGAGAGGACCGACTATAGGTCGTCGCCTGACTTGCCGTGCAGGGGGCTCGCCGGTCCTGGCACTCGTCACTAGCAACAAGCCCGCCGAGGTCATGCGCATCGACTCCCTTGACCAAGCCCATGCCGTCCGAGCTTTGCTTTCCCCGGATTCTGCTTAAGATGCTTCCTCCGCCAGCTTGTCGGCCTGCCTGACATTGCTCTGCCTGCTCTTCACAAGCCATGAACATGACCAAGACCAAAGCGCGCTACGACTTCAAGACGCGCCCGGTCGCGCACCCTGATGCCATTGTCGCTGGCGACAAGTACCGCTTCACCATCCTCACCGATGGTCTGCTCCGCTTCGAGTGGGCAGACGACGGCCGCTTCGAAGACCGCGCCAGCACCTTTGCCATCAACCGCAGACTAGCCGTGCCCGACTTTTATGTCTGGGACAGGGGCCACGGAATCGAAATCGTCACAAAGCGCTTCCATGTCGTCTACGACAAGAACAAGTTCAGCGCCGAGGGCCTCAAGATACACCTCAAGGGCTCTGTGACGGGCACCTGGACATATGGCCAGCAGCTCTCCAACTTGGGTGGCACCACGCGCACACTGGATGGCGTCAATGGCCGCGCAAGGCTGGGTCCGGGCGTGCTGTCTAGGGAGGGCATGGCACTCTTGGATGACACCAAGTCGATGCTCTTCGAGGACAATGGCTGGATCGCAGGCCGCAGGAGTGGCGATAGGACCGACCAGTACATCTTCATGTACGGCCACGACTATCGTGAGGCTATGCGCGCATACTATGCTGTCTCTGGTAGTCAGCCCCTGCTACCACGGTACGCCCTGGGCAACTGGTGGAGTCGATACCATGCATACACGGCCAAGGAGTACCTCGATCTGCACGATCATTTTGACAAAGATGACGTGCCCATGAACGTGGCCGTCGTCGACATGGACTGGCATCTGGTGTGGGATATTCCAGGTGGTTACAATGGCTGGACCGGATACACGTGGAACAAGAAGCTCTTCCCTGACCCAGATGCCTTTATGAAGAACCTCCATGACCGTGGCATGAAACTGACGCTCAACTTGCATCCTGCAGACGGCATCAGGCCGTTTGAAGCGCAATACGAAAGAGTTGCAAAGTACCTTGGAATCGACCCGGCGTCGAGGCAGACGATTCAGTTCGATTGTACGGATAAGAAGTTTATGGATGCCTACTTTGATGTAGTGCACCACGAGCATGAAGAGCGAGGTGTTGACTTTTGGTGGGTGGATTGGCAGCAGGGTAATACGTCCAAGATTCCTGGCGTCGACCCGCTGTGGGTGCTCAACCACTTTCATTTCCTCGACAGCGGCCGCGGCTCCCAGCGTCCCTTGATTCTTTCTCGTTTCGGCGGTCCAGGTGCTCAGCGCTACCAGGTCGGTTTCTCAGGCGATGCAATCATTACTTGGGAAAGCTTGCACTTCCAGCCCGAGTTTACGGCTACTGCATCCAACATTGGATACGGATGGTGGAGCAATGATATCGGCGGACACACACATGGCTACAAGAACGATGAGCTGTACACGCGCTGGGTACAGCTTGGTTGCTGGTCGCCCATTCTGCGCCTGCACTGCGACAACAACCCTTTTAACACTCGCGAGCCCTGGCGTTACAACGCCGAAGCCTGTGGCATTGTCGAGGATACACTGCGATTCCGCCACCGCCTCATCCCATATCTGTACACAATGAACGCCCGAAGCGCCAGCGATGATGAGCCCCTTGTACAACCCATGTACTGGGACTACCCCGAAAACGAAGAAGCCTACAACGTGCCCAACCAGTTCCGCTTCGGCACTGAACTCATTGTGGCACCCATCACCCAGCCCCGCGACAAGATCACACATCTGGGCGCCGCGAAAATCTGGCTTCCAGAAGGCCGTTTTGTAGACATCTTCACAGGCGTCATCTACAACCGCGCCGGCGAACTAACCATCCAACGCCCCCTAAATCTCGTCCCCGTCCTCGCAAAAGAAGGTTCCATCATCCCCCTCGACGCCGCCGCCCGCCCCAAAACCGGGTCGCCCAACCCAGAGGCTCTCGAGATCCTCGTCGTCGTCGGCGCAGATGGCTCCTTCACCCTCGCCGAAGACGATGGAAAAGGCCACCTCGTCGACGACGGCGGCTTCTCCATGATCTCCGCCTCGGACCTCGACTCCTCCGCCGACGACGACGACACCGTCCGCTTTGCCCACACCCCAATAACCTACAAGCACGCCACCGGCGTCCTCACCATCGGCCCTACATCCCCCCCTTCCAACACCGCAATCCCCAAGTCGCGCTCTTGGAAAATCAGACTCCTAGCCCACCACCTAACCACCGACGCAACAATCCGCTGCATCACCACCGCCCCTTCAACCCGCAAATCCGCAAAACAACTCGCCCACTCAATCTCCCACGTCCCCAACGGCTCCCTCATCACCCTCACCGACGCAGTGCCCACTTCGCACACCATCCACATTGAACTCTCCCCCGCCCCTACCTTGGATGTCCTCGACCCTAACCCCCTGATCTGGGATATCATTGACAAGTCCTGGATCGAGCTCGATCGCAAGTGGGATATTTGGAACTGTGTGAATAATTCAGAGCCTGTGCTGAACAAGGTGCGGGCGCTGCAGGGGAGGGGGCTGCCCAGGGAGTTGCTGGATGCGGTGCTCGAGTTGTTGCTTGCGGATGAGAGGTATGCTGGTCAAGGGAATGGCATGGAGGATGTGGATTAAGCTGTGTAGCATGAAGTAATGAAATGTAAATGAACCTTTTTTTTTCATCTTTTTACTTTGGAATAGATGTATTCTGTGTTTCTTGATCCATGTTTTTTTCTTTAAAGAAAATTCTTTGATAGCACACTCATGTGACAAAAGTAGTTGTACATAGTTTCTACATTGCTTCACGGTCTCAACTCCACCCCTTCATCCCCCTTCATCCCCTCCTTAAACCCTTGCCTCCCCAAAATCTCCTTGACCTTCTCCAACACCGCACCTTCCCGCCTCCTACTCACATCGCCCTCGCTCACCTTCTCGCCCGCCACCAAGGCGCCTTCCAGACCCTCATACTCCCAAATATTCGCCTTCATGCCCACGCCGTGATACTGATGTTTCTGCAAGAACGCCAGCCACGCCTTGACTACATCCGGATGCCCGTCCTGAATCTGAATCAACCGGCGCATAGTCACTCGCTCGAAATTCTCCTGGCTCTTCTTGAAGATGAAATTGGATCGCGGGACGACCCAGCGCTCGGTTATGCGGGGCAGGGGGATGGGACCGCGTGCGCAGAGGCCCATGTAGTACGCTGCACGGACGGCAAAGTCGGAGAAGAGGAGCAGGTTGCGGATGTTGTAGGTGCGGAGTTGGAGGTCGCAGGTGGGCACGCCATATTCTGGTGTGCGACGAAGGGGCCGGAGGTGGACGGCGCGGACGTTAAGGGGGGTCCGGAGGGCGTCGAGAGCTTCTTGGGTTTTGGGGTCGAGAGGGGGAGTGTCGGTGGGGAGGGTGATGTCTTTTTCTCTGTTGGAACCGGAGTGTTAGTCTCTTATTTTTTTGGGTCCATGTATGATGGGAATAAAGGAGGAGACATGGCGAGAACGTACTTTGCGAGTTTGATGGGTTCGACGCCGGCGCGCTTGTACACTTTCAAGAGGCCGAGGTGGTCAGGTGTGTTTTGTAGTTCTTTCCATTGCCGCTGGGCTTCCTCGCGCGTCTTGGGTTCCCGTTGTTGCTGGCGCTTGTTGACTTTTTGCTGGCTGGCATATAGACTGTAGTCTTCGTTAGAATCATCATCTTCCTGAAAATTCTCTTATAACAAGTAGACATACGTCTTGAATTCCTCAACATCGATACCCATATCCTCCAACCGAGCATCAAGCGGCATGTCGCCGCTCTCCAGGTCCATCTTCAGCTTCTCAATGAGTCTGACATCTCGGTCTTCTCTAGAGTCCCGCTCATTGTCCTCGTCTGCTCTCGAGCTCTTGTTCCGCGAAAAGGTCTGGGTCCATGGCCGTGGGGCGTGTGAAATCTATTTTCCATTGCAAGTCAACGGGCCAATTCGTCGCAAACAGTGTTTGACAATACAATCAATTCATACCTTCACCCTCTTCGCCGGCCCCAGAAAAGAGCGCATACATCGTGGCGCGGCCATGGTCGCTGTCGTCGCAACTTAACCCACGTCCAGCCGTCCAACTTCTTCCTCCGACAATGGCGCTAGTTGCGATTCCGCTTATAGTCTTGGCAGTCGTCGGAATTGCCCGCCGCCTTCCTTGTGCACCCTAGTCATTCCCTCTGATAATGTCACATGTACTTTTCCTAGACTATTTTCCCTAGCCACGGTTGATCCGTTTGTCTTTTGTGTTCTTGAGACTTGTTCTCCTTGACTTCACTTTTTTGCGACTGCTCAAGATGGAGTCCACTCAAGATGCCGCCGCTGCGCCAAACGCCTATGTCCGCGCCACAGAGACGGCCAAATATGTTCGCTCCCAACTACCCGAGACGCTCCAAAACCCAAAGGTAGCCATTGTGTGCGGTTCGGGCCTAGGTGGACTTGCCGACACAATCGAGCCAGAGCCCAAGGTCGAGTTGGCGTATGGCACAATTCCAAACTTTCCCAAAAGCACAGGTGTGTACAAGGCGTGACTCTCACACTTCATGATGCGGGGTGCTGACGAGTACATAGTTCAGGGCCATGCGGGCAAGTTTGTCTTTGGTCAGATCGGGCCTCAGAAAACACCAGTCGCACTTTTGGTTGGACGCGCACAGTAGGTCACTACAGGAGAAGAAGAGCATTTGAACAAATTTGATATTGATATTGATAGTTTCTACGAAGGACACTCGATGGACTTGGTCACATTCGCTACCCGCGTGTGCAAGGTGCTTGGTGTCGAAACCATGATTGGTATGGAACATGCCAGGCGAGAGCTAGAATCATCAGCTAATGATGGTATGCAGTCACAAACGCAGCTGGTGGTCTCAACCAGACTTACCGCGTGGGAGACATTGTGTGTCTAAACGACGTGCGTAAGTCGTTGCAAAGCTCAAGACTCACCCTAACACTATTCAGCATCTCAACATGGCTGGGCTCGTTGGATTCCACCCGCTGCGTGGCCCCAACATTGATGAATTTGGTGTACGATTTCCACCACTATCAGATGCCTACGACCTCGATTTGAGGAGAAGAACACACAAAGCTTGGACCAAGCTGGGCCTTGACCAGCAACAGAGACGTCTACACGAAGGTGTATATGCATTCGTTGCAGGACCAACGTATGTTCTCAAAATATTCTTACTTGACATGTCAAGAGCGGGCATGAGCTAATTCATCCAGTTACGAGACCCGTGCCGAGTGCCGGATGCTGAGCATGTTAGGGGCTGATGTCGTTGGTATGTCGACTGTGCCAGAGATCATCGTCGCCAGACATGCAGGAATGCGTATCCTTGCATTCAGTCTAGTCACAAATGTTGCCGTCCTCGAAGCAGGCTCTTGTGGAAACGATGCCACAATTCAGAACATGAATAGGGCGCAGCTAACCGAACACCTGAGCCAAGGCAAGGCAAACCATGAAGAGGTACTGGAGGCTGGACGGGAGGCAGCCAAGGACATGCAGGCTTTGGTCAAGCAGATCCTTTCCGACCTGGACGAGGAATAGAAGCGCTTCTCAGAGAAGATTCCATGGGACAGAGGAGGTAGATCTAAGCTAGAAAATATCAAGCCCGAGAAAAGTGGTCTCGAACCCCCCGAGAACAGAACCAGATCGACGGTTGTCACGTGAAGTTTCATCCACGTGCTCAAGGCTTTACAATTTTGCCCTTGTTCCGCTTTGCTTTGAGGGCCTTGTAGTGGGCTTTCTTTCCGCTCGACTTGGTTGCCTGGATGTCTTGGTATTTTCGGTTGAAGCGGCCACTGTCTTGCTCCTGAGCAATGACTTCTTCGAGCATGGTCTGCTTGCGGTCCTTGTTCTTGAGACGGCTGCTGTAGAACTCGGTGGCACCTTCAATAATGGTGCCGACTTGGGAGAAAGCAGGAACATCGCTCTTGGAGTTGTCCTTTTTGTAGTGGCGCTTGGGATCGAGGACGCTACGCATCTTGAGGAGTTGCAAATCTCGACGCAACTCTGGAGTCAGGTCGGTCTTGGGCATGTTGAACCATTGTGAGCCAGCAGTTGCTTTCTTCTCCTAAAAAGCCGTTAGCATTTTGTAGCTGACAAACTTGAATGCAAAAAGCGTGTAGAGAATAGATGCCTCAGTGTAACTATGAACTAATGGTGCCTCAGTAGCGCAGGAAGGCAACCAAGACGGCGCCCAAATCTGCTCAGCAAAAACATTTGGGATAGATATCATCAAAGGCGTGGGGGTGCGACTGGGGTTTGGCATACCTCTTGCTTCTGCTTCTTGATCTGCAGCGGGTCCTCGATCTTCTTGATGCCGTTAGCCAAGGCCTTTTGGTTCTTGTCGACAAGCTTTGAGTGATCTAGACGAGTAATGTTGCCATGAGTCTTTTCATAAGTATCGGCGATGTGGCCGGGCGTCAGGTTGGGAAGCTTGAATGGTGCTGCGGCCCTAGCTGCAGGCTGCGCAGCCTTTGCACGCATGCGCTCAGCGGCCTCGTTGAGCAGCTCTCGAATCTGCTCATCAGAGAGATCCTCGTCCGAGTCGTCGACGAGCGGCTGGTGCGTTGGCAGCTCCATGCTGGCGGTGACGGGGAGAGGATGGAAAATTTGGAGATGAACTTTTTGAAAAGGTCGAGCGCACGAGCCATGTCGGCCAAGCTAAGCTGACACCCGGTGGACAAAAACATAGGTACTCCACACGGGCTACCCGACTAAAATCAATAACGCGCTAGAAACTTCATAACCCTCATGCTCTATATTACTACTATAATATAATAATACTATCATTTTTTACGCATATCTTCTTTAAAAAATCTAGAAATACTATTTATAACTAGAATACAGTAAAAAAATCATAATAAAAAGTACTAAATATTTGTAAGGGGTTGTGTCACGGTGCGGGTCCGTACACTCCAAACGAGCTTAAGTATCAGCTACGCAGATAACAACGGAGCTTTGTTGTCTTGTGCCTGCCTTTTTGGCAGCGTGGTAGGCGCGTGTAGCTGCGTGCTCGGCTCCGCTAGGAGCCCTCCCTGACAC